TTTTCGGCTAGCCCAGTGAGACCCATTCAGCCCGTAATAAAAGCAGGGCCGTTGTTTTGGTGCAAAGATTACCCCAATGTTTTTAACAGAAGGGCTATGGGAACTAGACCTTCTTACACTAAAAGGGCTCAGAAATGTCTCCTTTATCTTCCCATTTGGAAACTTGGACTGCAATGGAGTTTGACAGGATTACTTTATTTACTCTCTCTCCTGTAGCACAGCTATTTCTGGCTGGCTGGCTGTTGCTATTAAACTGGTCTCATTTTGCTTCTCCTCCAACCTGCTTTGCTCTGCGAGCTCAGGGGAAGATGGCAACAGCAATAAACCCCAAGCTGGAGCTTGCGTTGCCTCCTGATTACAAGAGACACATAAAAAGTGCAAATGAAAACTAAATGTGTTTCACGCAGTCACTGATCTTTCTGCGCTGTCAGAAAACACTAAACACGGAGCCCCGTCAAGGACTGTTCAACTGCTGGTGAAAGAAAAGCATAATTTGGTGCAGAAACTCTGTTAACCCTTCATACTTCGTACTGTCGTTTCCAGCCTAATGCCACAGCGCTCCCGAGCCCGTTGGGGAAATCCAAACTATTACCCAGAACGGGAAAAAAAAGAAGATCCTCATCTATTACACGATAAGCACCTCGAGCATCTCCCAACATAACAAGCTATGATCATAATTAATACTGTGTGTCACACTCCTGGATGTTAAGTACTATGATTTGCAAATTTAAAGCATCTCTGTGTCAAACTCTCTCAACTTCAGGGTGATAAGAAAAGTAGACCCTGTGCCTTTAAGGCAACATCTTTTAATGCCACCATCATCAAGGATTGACTTCATTTCTTGGTAATTACAGTTAGCATACTGGAATGTGCATTCTTCTTCCTGATTATAGACATATGGTAAGTCACACCGAGGCCAGTGCTTGCTTCCTACACAGTTTGTTCCCTTCTTCCTTTCCAAAAGGCATTTTTGCATTAGGGCAACAAACTGACATCTCTTCTGAAGAATGTACCACGTTGTCCTCGTGTACACTGCAACGTCCCAACCTCTGGTTCGGGAAACACAGGCAGAAAATTCATTAGGAGGGTTTGTCATTAATCCAATGGCTAACGTTACTCAGATTTGCAATGAAAACCTAAATCATGAGCTCTCCCAGTGGTTCTTTATCAGGAACTGTAGACATCCAAACTAACTCCGTGCTCCCCATGCTCTTCCAGAAGTCCACAGTGCTATCTACATCCACTGGTATTTCAGCATTCAGTCCATTAACACTGAAATGGTTGACGTGGTCATTTCATCCGATTAAACTTCTCACTTCCTAGCACCAGAAAATAATTCAGTGGTGATATTAGGAAGTGACCAGTGCTGTCTCTGACGGCAAAATCTAAGCCAAAGAGATTTATTTGCAAATCTCAGAAACCAATTTGGTTTGTTACAATTCTCCCACAGAAGGTGCTTTGCAAAATGGTTGCCAGAAATGGAAGCTGGCTACCACGGTGTCAGCTCCTCCACCTGCTGCTACTGCTCTTATTCATGCAGCCCTCGTAAATCTTACTGCAAGTTTCCTGCTTGGAAGAGACTTAAATATACCCATGCTGGCAGAGATAACATCTGCCAAGTGCATTTGAACGCGGCCGTTCACAGTTACTCATTTTCACAAACTAGGTCTCTGTCTGAAGTCCCATCAGTTATCCAAGACGTGGTGGTCATGGAAATGCATTCGGGATTTCTCAGTCTGAGGCAGTGGGACTTACACTGGCAACCAGGGAAGGGTCTGAGCTTTGCCTCTGGATCTGACCAGTGCCATCACTCTTTTCCTGACTGCTGAACTACGTTAATGGCTAGTTCATTACAGTCATATTAATACAGTCATATAGTCAATACAGTCATATTAATGACTATGCTAATATTTGGTCCTTTGTATGCAAACAATCCCTCAACCAGATAATCACCCAGCTGCCCACATGCCCATTTGCCCATTTGGACCCTTGGCTCAGCTCACGTTGCAAAAGCCCTTGGAAAAATCCTAGGAGGCGCAGCCTGTGTGGGAAGACAAGAAAGATGCTCACGTTCAAGGAGCTGCTCCCACCAGCAGCTCTCAGTCCATCCCACCCATCTGCTGAGCAGCAGATCACCTTTATGAGATGAGTGAGCAATAGGATACAAGGGAGTGATTCCAACCTGCAGACATCTGTGGACACCCATGATTTCAAAAGGCCAGGCAGATGCTGAAACCTTGTTTGAAATGTTTGGGAACAACTAATAAATACAGTTAATGTTGATCAGTGAGCTCCCGTCTGTCAGGTGGCTGGCCTGGCATTACTGATGATCTTCTGCAGGCGTATCAAGCGAGGGAACAACGAGGTGATAATCTCAAGAAGAATCACCCTGAGAATTATCCTCCCTCACAGAAATGTCTTGGCCAGATGTCCAACAAAAAAAGGCTCCATAACCTCACAACGTTTTCAGACATCAACAGAAAGGGATGGCAAAGCTTCTGGAAAGTAAGCCATATTCAAAGCAGACAAGGGTTTCTTTGGAAATACGTTAACTGCTGCTGAAAGCAGGTAGCTGGATACTAGAAATACCTCCATAGCCAACAGACCTTATTCCTTAGACACAGGCAACATCGATGGATGAATAAGAAACACGGTAATTCTTGGTAGCATACGACAGGAGTCCTGCTGCAACCTTCCTAGGCCATCTGCCTGTAAAGCTGATGGCCCAAACCTGATCCAATAGAAGAACAGTAGAAATAATGATGTTTGTTGAGAATGTGGACTGTGCCTTGTCTTTAGAGCCACACAAAGGACACAGAACAGTTGAACTGGAGCAGTCATCATCGTTTACTAACTGATAGCAAAACTGCTATGAAGAAACCCAAACTTACGTGGGAGTAGAGGGGCATGTTACTTTGCACCCAGCGCTCACCTTAAATAAAGGGTACAAAAGGAGCTGCTACCTTGGCTATAGACAGAATTTTTTAATGCTCTGCCTGGGTTCAGCTGCAATACTGCCAGCCCAAAGGATCGGCAGCTTGCAATACAGACACGAACACGCACGTAGCGATGTGCTCTCCTGGGACTGAGATATCCTGCATATCGGTTGGCTGGAAGCAGAATACTGCTGGAATTTTTGCACCAAAAGAAAAACTTTCACTAGCTCTTCTCCAGATATTGCAGAAATTCATATACCGTCTTCCTGGACCTAACGTGCATCTACTGGTACCAGTGAATGCCACTGACGCCTCACCTGAGCCTACTGGAGTGAAGCTGATTCCAGCCAGTTTTGCCACATAGACATTATTTCATCTTCCACTGCATGAGCTAGTGAGCAGGGACCTGACAGTCTCAGCAACGTGAGCCCATGGTGCAACACATTTTACAGACAAGGGAGTTCAAAGGGAAGGAACCAACACCCAAAACTGTCACAAACGCCACAAAACACACCACAAAACGCCTTTTGAACACCTAAGGGGAGAGGACGGTGTCACGAGGACGGTGCCACAAGGACGGTGCCACGAGGACGGCGTCACGCTAACGCTGGCTGCATACTGGTACAACCTTCGAGCCCGTGGCAGCCCGCTGGGCAGTGCTGAACGCTCTCTGCTCGTACCGACGGCCACGGAAAGCCCAGCTCTGATCTTCCCAGGAGTTAAGGGAACACTTGATACCTCTCTGGGTCACTGCCAGCGCAAGCCAAACTGGATGCTGCCTTATGAATCGGAAATTCAGGGTCACAAGCAAAGTGCAGGAGGTCAAGATTAATAATTGAACCCAGCTGCGTACTTCCAGACTTGTTTTGACAGTTCTCTGAACATCTGACTTGTTGCTCTGTGGTTATTTTTTTTTTTTTTTTTTTACAGAGCCAGGAAAGAAGCAAAAGGCACAGCAACGAGGAGGGGAAAAATAAGCACATGCATTCCAGAAGGTAAAATTTCAGTTGACCATGACTCAGGAGAAGAATGTGCCACCCACTGAACTGCACAGGCCGCAGCTCCGTGTACGGCGGGACCGGGGCGTGGAGCCGCACGGGGG